AGAGCTCACAAGGCGACCTGTTCCTAGCAAACAGGTCAATGCATTACTTGCACAAGGTGCAGCGGAGTTGCCCTTGGGGCTTCCCTGATGGCTAAACTGTCCCATCTCACCTTGCTGAGTTCAACCCCTATCTGGGGCGAGCAAAGGAGTTGGAGTTTCAAACCATGATTTTCAGAACGGCCAACGATGGCGATTATTCCCGTCAGTGGCGCTCATCTCCCAGAACCTGGTCAAAGTCCTGGCAATTTCAGAAATGGATTTCCATGGACGTGTGAGCAACATTCTTGTATGTAGGGTTCAAGTTTTTGTTCATAGTAGGAGGGTTGCAAGTATTGGATGCTCGTGCGATCCCTCAAACGCATGGTTTCCAAGGGGAAAGTTGAAGTTGACTGCATGCACCAAGCTCCAGAACCCTGCAGAGCCCTGCACATCCTGGTGACAATCGACCACGGCTGGAAGCCATTCTCGAAGAACCTGACGCTCCACTGAGATAGCCGCTGGCCCTTCACCAACCCCTTCTTACACATTCCTCACATCTTAGGTGGACCCTGACTCAGACACTTCCACCATAGGACAGTCGGCCACTTCACGTCTGGAAATGTTCCCTTGTAAGTGTGCGTTCGAGCATCTCCAAGCCTGCAGTGCAAGAATATCTTCTTACAAAGACACACACTTGAGACTTCGCGCACGGAACTGAAAGCCACTTGCCACACGCCCACCTAGGTGTGACCGCCTAAGGGTGCCAGGACAGAAGGAAATAGGAAAACCCTCCAAAGCTCCAACGATCACGACATCGACGACAGGTTGACGGCGTGCGTACACATCTGCCGACCTGAAAGCAACCTAACCAGCCTGGTCAGCTAGAGGAGAAAGTGATTACCGAACATCACACTTGCGAACTTGCAGGTACACAGATTGGCGTCCCAATCTGCTTCACGGAGTATCCACAGCTGTCTTCGTTGGCAGCAGAACTGTGGACTCCCTGCTGCCCCCTGCTGAAAAAGTTCAAAAGAAAGAGACAAATCCGTCAGGATCCCTGTGACTCCAAGGGTTACACAGACACACACCGAACATGTAGAAATGGCACCGAAGGGCTGCGAAGCAGCTCTTTGTTCAAGTGATCCATTTTCAGTCGGCAACTCGTCCCCAGCCAAGCAGCCAAACCCTCAAAAACACACACAAGGCAATGGGGGACCTGTATGTCTTTCCAATTAGGGAAATATGGCATGTGTGTATGTATATATATATATATATATGTAGTGTAGAAGCAGTCCCTTACCTTGCTTTGCTGATTATGGAGGTTTCCCAACAAGTGCGATTGTTATATGTGTCATAACGCACGTATAGAGCATCACTTGAGCTCGGTAAGTGGAAGCCTGCCTTTCTTACGTGCTTCCAATAGGAAGACATGTGGAGGGTAGTGAAACGACGCCAGGCTTTGAATCAAATGTTGTTGGCTTACAACATTTTGTGCAGCTCTTTTGTACTGCTCTTCCATTCAGCATTTCCTGGCCTGGAGTTCCACCTTCAGCTCAGCCGCCATGGGGTCTTCGAGCATTTGAATGGTCTTCACCTGATCAAAATTGCAACGTGGAGCCCCGACGTGATTCCACGTGGTGTGCTGCTCTCTGCTTTGTAAATCAGGAGGCCCACGAGCTTCAACCCTTCAACCCTCTGCGTTCTTGAGACCCCACTTGCAGGCCCCAGCCTGCAAAGTGATATCGCAGCACCTGAGCGCAAGCCACAGAGTCTTGATGAAGGGGCTTTCCTAGGAAGAATTTCAAAAAGTTGGTATTGCGTAGGCCCCTTGAAATATTCCTCTGAGCAGTTTTTCCTCTATCTGATTCCATCTCGCATTGCAAAGGTCACCCCCCCCCCCCCAGACTGTAAAAAGGCCAGGCCATTGAGATGAAGGCAATGATGCCACGTTCCGAACTCATTCTGAAGGTGCAAAAAATGTGCAACAGTGTTTAGTCAAGGGAAATGTGGACGAGGCTTTGTCTGTGAGTTTATTGGTTGTTTGTTTAGTAGCCAGAAGATGCCAGAAGATACGATCCTGGAGGTTTGATTGAAAGAGATGTTTTATGCTACTTCAATGGAAAGGTGGGGTCAGGCAGGGAGAAATCAAGCCCCTACGATGGATGCTCTTTGGATGGAACATTTCCAGTTGCCCGTTTGGTTTGTTGAGTCTATCTCTTACTTTACCATGTACATCACACATGTGCCGACCTTCGCAGCATCACAGTGCAAAGGTCTAAAATCATTACTACTCGGGTGTTCAAGCCAGTCGTTTGATGGTGCATGTCTCTCCGTGCAAAACTCGTGAAAATTGTCCGTGTTCAGTTCTGCTTTGTTGTGCGAGAAGGAAGGGTGCTGCTTTTTGCTCCTTTCTTCGGTTGGTGGCCACGAGGTGTCTAGGTAGCAGTGTGAGGGCGTGACATGATGATGAGATCGCCCTGCACGGCCGTGCAATCTGGTTTGCTCTGAAGTATGTTCCGCCCAAATGGTTCAACGTTTATTTGGTCGCTATGTTCAAGGCATTGCAAAGTAGTATGTCACCCATAAACACCGCCGCCAGGTGCCCAAGTCTTGCAGAAGCCTAGCAATTTCAGCGCATCATGAGAAGGCACTAATGCATAGATATGTATATATATATATTTATATGTGTATATATGTGTATCGTTATCCATACGTGTATATATATATATACGTATGTGTATACCGTGTATATATGTAATCACACAGTAGCTTGTGCAAGAGTCTGTAAACTGTAAACCCACTTGGAGATCTCGATGTTTGCAAATGCTGTGGATTGAGTGATCTTTAGACATGGCCATGGTGGTGCCCAAGGCCAGCAAGACCCCGACTGCTCCGTTAAGCTTTCATGGCACCATGCAATGTCCTGGCCGGTTGATGCCAGCTGCATCAAGCATGTATCACGATGGACGGCATCAGGATCATCCCCCATCAAAGCTACAAGTGGGTTCAGTTGGAGCTAGGCTCAGTCTCCTCGATCCAACACATGTCATCCGTCACTCTGGCACTCATGGGATTGATATCTTTAGTTGATGGTTTAAAGGCAAAGCAAGGCTATTACTCCATGCCAAAGAGATGCTTCTGGTCACAAGGTTTCCCTGAAATCAATGGTCCCCAGTTTCGTGGCATCTGTGCTGCGAACCTGCCGTTGTACACCGGGAGATTGAGCTGCACAAACGTGACCAAACACACACAAACCGTGCCAAATGCTCCGCATGCTTCCGATTGCACAAAAAGGAAGCTGGGTCCAGTCTATTCGAAGGCTAAGAAAGTACTCATGACCTCTGCTGTCCCTAGCATTGCACCACTGGGTTGATTGTTTGGCCCTCCATTACGCAAAAACACGCCCTAGGGCGTAGGGGCTAGGGCCAGGGCCTAGGGCCTACTTTTTTCCTTCTTACTTGAACCCAATCCTGTGATAGGTAATGTGCATCCATTGGTACTACAGCAACGAAGTTGATAAGCACGCACGACTTCCAATGTTGCCTTACAAAACTTGCGTTAGGTTGACAAAAGGCAGGACCATCTTTGCTCGGATGGACGTCTGATTGAGAAAGTTGAGCAATCTCTCTTAAGCCAGCAATCAACAGTGCAAATGCTAAAGTTCTCCAACCACGTCAACCTCATTGTGTCTCCTCCCAAGCAAAGAAATTAAAGTTAAAACAAGAAAAACACGAAAGGCCGTGGCCGCCTGCAAAGCATTTCTCTCCGCCAAGCCGTCGCCAATACTGATGGCATGGCAACCTGGGACCCAGCTAAAGCCATGTGTTCCACAAGACTGAAGTTGGAGGTTCTGAGAAACAGCTGGGACCAGCTGGGAGCACCTACAACCAGTCAACATGATGTGTTCCTTCTCTATTTCGCTCGTGTGTGGAGGCTGAAAAACAAGGCTACGGTGTAGTCTTTGTTGACAGTGTGTCAAAATATTTTTTGCAGTTTCATCTTTGGAGTGCAAGAAGTTGTGTTCTTGAAATAGTGTATTTTACAAGACTCCAGGTCTTTATTTCATCTGGTTCTGTCATCAATTTCTGGCTTCGGGTTGGACGTTTTTCGTAGCAGTTTTTTGCTCTGTGTTGCTTTCTTTTTTGTTAAAAGTCGCGTCTGACATACATGCAAAGCAAACTGGGCGGCTCCCATATCAAGCAAACGGTTTGTTCTCAGTCGCATCCCCGATCTCAGTGGGTGCGAAAGATCCGCCCCCCGCCACCCCCGTCCCTTCAACGGTCAAACCACATGCATACCTGCTGTCATCCAAGCCGAAAAACACACACTTCCTCTGGGGTCACAAACAACGCCGTTGGCAAAAACAAGATCTTCAAACACCGGTATTCCAACAAAAGCCTGCAAAGCAATGACTATGGCACAGGGTAGAAACGAAAGAGTTTTCCTTCATCCTGATGAGCCTTGGCGTACTCGTGTGTTTGAATTTGAATAAAGCACTGTGAAGCTTCAAGCAAGCAATTCCAGGTCAAGGCGTTTGAACAGCCTGTCTACAAGACTCGAGGCGAAAGGTACAGTCGCAAGATGTCGGTTCGTTCGCTTCGGCCTTTGAATGTTCGTTGCAAGACTCTGACGTGCCTGCTCGCCTCGAATCAGGGACCCCTTCAGCCCGCGTCTACCATAGACGCTTTTAGGCTACTTGTTTGCGCGTGCTGCCATAGGGCATCGCATTCGAAGGCAGAGACCTTCGACCGCATCCATTCGTGAGGATTGGAGAAAAGCAGAGCTACCGAGGAGAAGAACTACTTTGACCTGGTTTCCGCTTCGTTGCATTTTTGTTGGTCGCTTTCGCTTTGCTGCCAATTCTCGATACGAGATTGGTAGCGGAGCGTGAATTCGCTCCGGGACCTGACGTCGCTTGCTCTTCGTGATTGAGCCCCTCGATTACCTGATCGGGAGCGGCGGACCTACGCCCAATACTATCCTTTGCCCGACTCACTGCGCGTGTCTTGACGAACAACCTCATGGAGGCGGCAAAGGATGAGAAACTGTTTCGATGCTCTTGGAATGGTGATGTCTCGACATTCCAGGACTATGTGCGGCGAGTCCGACTTGCTTTCAGCCGCACGAAGAAGAAGCATCGAAAACATCTCGCAGCAGACTTGGTGTCCCAGCTGACGGGACGTGCATGGACGATCACCCAAGAGATCAGTCATGAAAGGTTGGTCAAAGAAGATGGCGCAAAGTACCTCGTCCAGTTCTTGGAATCCCATCTTGCCCGAGTTCCTGTGCCTGACGCTGGAGCTAAAGCAGAAGAGTTGTTAGTGAAGCTCCGTCGACCTTTCGGCATGAGCATGAGTACTTGGTGCGCCACCGTTCGTGAACACTACCGGCAACTCCAACGTGCCTTGAAGAGAGCTGCACCTCTCAATCCTTCCGGAGAGAAGGACACTACTCCTAAGAGGTCTCCCTCGGTGCCATCAACATCGTCTCCTCCGTCCCCGGCCCGATCAAGTCGAAGGACATCTAAGAGAACAGTGCCAGAACCTGAGGCACCCGATGAGGAAGAGGACGATGAAGACGATATGGACTTCGAGTATCCTGACTCGCCTGATGGTGATGACCCAGGAGAAGAGAGTGATGCTCGTCGCCAATGGCACGGTCGAGGGCGCAAGGCAAAGTCCCAAAAGTCTGATTCATCTGATGATGATGATATGCAGTGGGGAGTTCGACTTTGGGGTGATATGGATTCAAGCCTTCCGGAAGTCCTTCCACCTGAACTTCTTGGGTGGTTGATGCTTCGTCGAAGTAGCCTGAGCGCCCAACAACGCTTGAACATCCTGGCATCAGTTGGCAACAGCTTGAAGGCCGACGACATCGAAAGAGGTCTTCGTGGCGCTGAGGAAGAACTTCGACTTCATGAACGAGACCCCGAAGGCCGAGGAAAAGGAAAAGGGAGTGCCCATCGACAGAAACCGAGAGCCAACTTCTGGGTTGAACAAGATGGTGAATGGGGCCTCTTGATCGATGACCAGGAGGCAAACGAATGGCTTGAAGATGGTGCAGTGCATTGGGTTGGCCATGACCTTTCGACCGTCTATGCCTCGATGGATGAAGGGACGACTCGAACTCCAGAAGTCCAGAGTCGACCTGACAGTAATGGTTTTTGGCATCAAGATGAAGACGGAGGCTACACCTTCTGGAACAAAGCCACTGATGGTGAATACTACTCTCAGGATCAAGCCGGCACCTTTTGGGCTTGGTCCGACTTTGAAGATGATCAAGTGTGGTGGTCAGCCACGCCTGAACAGCAGAAGGAGATCTCCGAGGCCTACGCCAACTATGAAGGAAAAGTGAGGTCCTTTGCCGAATCCCGTGCCCTTCTACGTCATAAGAACTTGAGCAGAGGTTTCTACCCGAAGAAGGGCAAAGGCAAAGGAAAACCATCGAGCTTTTCCAAAGGAAAAGGGGCAAAGGCGGCTCCAATGCCCACTTTCGTTGTGGAGAGCCCCGGACCTTCGAATGATGTGTTTGCAGCCTCTGGAACTCCAGGCAGTGCTGGCTACACCGGATGTTTCGTGTGTGGAAGTAAAGGCCACACCTTCCGAAACTGTCCTTCTCGCTCCAACACCTCATCTTCTTCTAAGGGTTCGGGGAAGATCTTCATGGTAGCCGAGGTTGAAGAGCACTATGAATCAGAGATCCCTGAAGTGAGCCATAGAATGGACATCCCTCAGATTCTTTCCTCTGAGGTCTTGCAGCCAGAACTTCAGGGCTATGGTGTGCTCGACACTGGCGCCACGGAATCGGTGAGTTCCTTAGCGGCCTTGGAGTTCATCCACCTCAGGAGGACCGAGTTGCTTGGGCATGGTAACCATGTGACTGTGATCCCTGGGCCTCAGAAGATGTTTCGTTTTGGAAATGGTTCCCTTCAATTCAGTGAATCCTATGTGCACCTGAAACAAACCGTTGGCCCTCATGAGATTGATCTTGGCGTGTTCACGCTGGATTCGAAAGGAGTGCCTTTGTTGATCGGAGTTCGGACTCTTGAGAGGCTAGGTGCGATCATAGATGTTCACCAGAGTATCCTGGTGTTGAAAACGGTGGATCCTCGACTTGTGATCCCTTTGAGACGGTCTAGAACAGGCCATTTACTGTTGGACTTGTGCTCGAATTTTTGGATGGAGGGGCAAGAATCCTCTTCATGCAAGATTCTGCTGAAGCTGAAGCTGTTGAAGGTGAAAAGAATTTTGTGATTCAAGAGGAGTTTCCTGCAGTCTTGCTTCATGCCCCACACTATCCTTCGACTACCACGACATGTTTGAGTCCCACTATGGCCTCCACGTCTACTACGACGGCCTCCCTACCTCATGAACTACTTCATGGAAGGCACCACGAGGTCAAGGTGATCGGCAGTCAAGTGCTTTGTGATTCAGTACATGCAGTCCACGAACCACAATGTTCACACAACAGTTCATCAACTTTGGTCGAAAACCTTTTTCCAGTTTTTGAAGAGCTTCAGCAAATGCCTGAGTTCATAGAAGAGCCGATCGTTTTGGAAGAGACTTTTGGAAGTACCACACCTTTCTCTCCGGCCCTCTTGGCTGAAGAGCGCAATTCGGATTTAGGTATGAGCCTGCGGATCTTAGCGATCCTTGCCACGGCCTCGTTCACTTCTCCCCATGGCGGCAACCACTACTCCGAAGAAGACTACGTCCTCCCGAGCCAAGGGGAAACAAATGCTCGAGGTGACGAATGCCGCGGGGACGTTCGAAGTGGATGTCAACCGGTTCGACACCGACCGGATGTGCGGCCCGGATCACCGGGACCCCAGGCTCCTTGGGGATCCCTGCCAAGGAACGCACGACCCAGCGCCACCGGGTCGCGGCTCACCGACGGGCTCCAACGCCCATGCATACTGGGTGGCATGCAATCGATGCCAACTCCGGCTCTTGTATGTCCCCAGCTACGGAGCCCACGGCCTGACAAGAGCAGCAGGTCCGTTACCTTCGGACGCGGCAGCCAAGGTGAAGGAGTTGGGAAACTCAGCGGCTTACAGCCCAGAGATGCGCAACAAGAACGTGGGTTTGGACGCTGCCGAGAATTCCTTCATGAAACGCTTGGAAGTCATCCGGGCTCAGAAGGAGCAACATCGTCAAGGCAAGCCGGAGACGAAACCAAAGGCCAAGGCAACTCAGGGCTACATCAAGGAAGAGCCGCCGAGGGATCCGGAAGTCATGAGCCAAACGCCTGGTCGGAAGGTTCGCAAACCCGAGGATGCAGCAGAGCTCCTGGAGTACCAGAACCGGAGTTCCGAAGCTTCATGGAGCGTCGCTGGAACACCACCTTCCCCCGACCAGACGTAGGCGAGATCCAGTACAAGGCCGAAGAGACTTTGGATCTTGGAGCAGTGCTTTCAAAGTATGACCTCATTCCCAAGAATGTGAACATGGATCCTCGCACTGTGCTCTTACAGAATGACACGGTCCTTGAGAATTTGGCCATGGCGATGAGCAGTGATCTCCAACAGAATGAGCTCGTCCCTGACTATGACGACATTGAGAATGAGGTGCCTGACTATTTGCTCGAACCTTTGAAGTACTATGAGGCTCCGGGAGAGGAGCAGGTGACCGATGATGAGCATGGATATGGTCCAGAAAAGTTAGAAGACTTGGCACCGGAAGACCAGAACTTCATCGAGGAGACACTGCAAGAGAAGAGGCTGGCCTTTGAGGATTGTTTGGCATCATGCTCCTCGCCAACGTTGCCAGAGAAGTTGGACCTCATGGAACTCTGCTGTGAGGAGGATAGCTTGATCACCCGAACATGGCGTTCCTCTGGAGGAAAGGCTGGTCGGATGGGTTTGTTCAACCATTGCAATCTCCTCACCGATGCTGGAACCCAGGAGGCAATTAGGTTGGTGCAACTTCACAGACCCGAGATTCTGTGGGTCGCCTTCCCGTGCGGCGCAACTTCACCTCTTCAGCATCTCAACGAGCTCACTCCAGAAGGCCGAAAGCGCAGCCAGCGCCGAAAGGCCCGATCACGTCGACTCATCAAGAATGGCATCAAGGTGATCGAAGCTCAGTTGAATCAGGGCGGAGAAATTGTCCAGGAATGGCCACTTCACAATGAGGCCTGGAAGTTTGACATCGTGAAGGATCTGTGGAACGCCCTGAGTGGAGTTGAGAGATGCGAAGATGTTTTGTTGGATGGCTGCCAGTTTGGTCTGAAGTCACCTCAGGGTGAGTTCATGAAGAAACCCTGGCGTTTGCGATCATCACGCCCGGGTATGATGACATCAATGGGACGTCGTTGTGATGGTCGGCATCAACACACTCCAGTGATGGGAGGCGATTTGGCAAAGAGGACAGCCCTGTATACTCCAGCTATGTGCAGGGCAGCTTGCAGATGCTTCAACGAGTTCCTGAGCCAGTCAAGAGTTTTTGGGGCACTAGAGGTGAAGATTGATAGAGAAGGTCTCAAGACCCTCACCGAGAAGGAGCTCGCTCATTTGGCTGAAACGGCCTTGAAGCTTCATCGTCTTTGTGGGCACCCCGGAAGTCACGCACTGGTACGCACTCTCGCGGCCAAAGGAGCTGATGGGAAGCTGCTTGCAGTAGCAGAGCAACTGAAATGCATGGAGTGCCTTGAGGGCACAATGAAGAAACCATCGCCCAAGGTGTCTTTAGAGAAAGAGCAGAAGCTGTGGCGAACCCTCCAAATCGACGCCTTTGTCCTTAAGAAAGGAGATGCAGTACACCACTTCCTCCTGATGCTGGATGAGGCTTCGGGTTTCTCCGTGGTTCATGAGATGATGTCGCACAGTGATGAACAGCATGAGAACATCACAGCACAGGCAACTCTGGATGCCTTAGTTCAATGCTGGTTTCAATACTTTGGCACCCCAGCTTGTTTGCGATGTGATTTGGAAGGAGCCTTCAGAGGTGATCTTTTGGAAACTTTCTGCAAGAGCCGCGACATAGAGCTTTCCTTCGTGCCTGCCGAACATCATGAAGCAACTGGAGATGTAGAGCGAGCAATCGGAGAACTGAAGAAGAAGATGCTAGCATACCTCCGGCAGGACAATTCTGCTGAACCACGCCTTGCTGCGTACGAGATGTGTGCTGCACATAATCGTTTTGCTCGAGTGAGTGGGTTTTCCCCAATTCAATGGGCTTTTGGCCGAGATCTTTCTGATGATACTGGACTCGCGACTTTGAGCGCAGCTGGTGATCCAACCTCAGAGATGAACAAGAACCTGCAGCTAAGACTTGATGCTGAGGCTCAATATCGAAAGATGCAGGCTAGGGCAAAGATCTCTCGTGCTTTGAACGCCAAACCAGACCGATCGACGCAGTACATTCCGGGAGATCTGGTCTACTACCGGAGATACAAGTTCCCCAAAGATGCCACAGCACATCGAGAACTTGATTTACCTCAAGGAAGCCATTTCCGGTGGTTTGGGCCTGCACGAGTTTTAGCCTGCGAAACCCGAGTCTCTGAAGATCCTCTCCTTCGTCGACCTGGCAACGTGGTGTGGATCATAGCCCAAGGAAGACTCAAAAGGGCTCACACGTCTCAACTCCGGCATTCCAGCGAGAGAGAACGGTTGATTGCAGAGGCAACCTCGGCCCCGACACTTCCCTGGACGTTCACCGCTCTAGGACAAACCCTCGACAGGGGCCAGTACGAGGACCTGATCCAAGACAAACCTCCCACTGGCCAAAGGATGAGACGGGGTCGTTCAGTGGTGAGAAGCCGAAGCAGAGGACCACCTGTCCATCAACCTCCTGCTCAACGAGATAGACCTCTTTCAGAACCTCCTGTTCCTGCCGCTCGACCAGAAATCAAACAGACTTCAGATGATTCCGAAGAAGAGCTCATCCCTGTTCCAGAGGAGTCAAGACCTCTGAACCAGAGTGAGATGCTGTCAGAAGAGCCAGAGACACCCATGGACGTTCAACGTCTTCTACATGATCCGACCTACATGCCGATGAAGAGGACTTCAACAGAAGACCTGGCGGCCAAGAGAAGTGAGTTTCTTCGAGCTCGGCATCAACATGAGATGGCAGACAGGCCATTACATGTGAAGAAGCAAACCGAGTCTTCCGCCTCCTCCTCACAGGCGCTATGGCTCGATGATGTTGATCAGGACTTTGTGCTGAGCGTGATCATCCCGATCCCCGAAGATGAAGCAGCTTGGAAAAGGGTTTTGAAAAACCCCGGCCGCTTTGTGGCGAAATCAGTGCAAAAGGGAGCAGAAGTGGCCTGGGAGAAGCTCTCGCCATCCCAGAAGGAAAGCATGAAAGAGGCAAAGATGCTAGAGGTCTCCCAATGGGTCAGCCAGCATGTTTGTGAACGCTTCAATGGTCTGGTCCCCAGATCCAGGCTCATGCGCACAAGATGGGTCCTTGTGTTTAAGGCCATCGACGGAGATGAGAAGCATGTCAAGTGTAAAGCTCGCATAGTCCTTTTGGGCTACACGGACCCCGACCTGGGGGACCTTGCCACGGGAGCGCCGACGATGACACGTCGGTCAAGACAGTTGTTGCTGCGCCTGTCATCTTTGAAGCACTGGAGCATCACCAAGGCGGACGCCAAAAGCGCCTTTTTGCAGGGGCAAGACACTCAACGAGCTCGGGACATTTACATCACTCCAGTTCCTGAGTTGGCAGAACAGCTTTCCTGCAAACCTGGCGAATGTGCCAAGATGTTGAAGGCTGCATATAGCCTTGTCTCAGCACCTCGTGAGTGGTATGGAGAGGTCAACAATGTGATCACCACCAAGCTAGGAATGAAGCGCCTGACCACTGATGGTTGTGTGTGGATTCTGCAGGATCCCAAGTCTCAGGAGACCCTCGGCTATGTCGCCAGCCATGTGGATGACTTTTTGATCTCCGGATCCCCTGACCATCCCTTGTGGCAGAAGACAGTAGAAGCCTTTAAGGGAGCCTTTTCATGGAGCCCATGGGAATCCACTCCGTTCACCCACTGTGGCATTGGTGTGTCTCAAGAAGCGGATTGGAGTTTTCGTTTGTCACACCACACCTTCGTGGAGGAACTGCGCCCCATCGTCATTGATGACAAGAGTGAGATGGTCACAGCTCAAGAAATGAATCAAGCCCGGGCGCTGCTGGGAGCAATGCAATGGCGCTCCATCCAGACTGGACCTCAACACTCCTCGAAAGTGTCTTGGCTTCAGAGCTCTCTCCCAAAAGGGGGTAAAGATGTCCTGCACCAGATCAACAAGTTGAGCAGAGAAATGCACCACCAGCGCTATCTGTCCGTGTCCACTCGACAGCTGGGAGCCGAATCTGTGGACGACATCGGATTCGTGTGCTACACGGACGCTGCGGTGGCCAACCGGCCGAACTTTGCATCAACGGGCAGACACTTGGTGGGAATGGTCCATCGTTCCTACCTTCAAGGCAAGAAGGGATTTGTCAACCCCATCTCATGGAGGTCTCACAAGTTGGTTCGTGTGGCACGTTCCTCGCTGTCAGCCGAAGTTCAAGCGATGGCCGAAGGAGAACAAGAGCTGATGTTTGCTCGAGCAGAATGGTCAGAACTTCTCGGACGACCACTTGATCTTCTGCATCCAGAGCGTTCTACACAGCAAGTGCCTGCAGCCATCATCACGGACGCAAAGTCCGTGTACGACTGTGTGAGCAAGGGTGACACGACCAGCTTCAATGAAGGAGAAATATACAGCACTTGAGCTGATGGCAGTGTTCAACCACCTTGAGGCTCAGCGGACAGCCTTGCTGTGGGTGGCTTCGGACAGCCAATTGGCTGATGGACTCACCAAGGGATCTGCCAGCGAGATGCTGACCAGATTCTTCCAAGGACATCAAGTTTGGGCGGCTTCTTTCGATCCCGAATTCGTCGCCGCGAAAAAGAAGAAGGGCAAGACTTCCACCACGGCTACCTCACATGAGCCGGATGAGGGAGCCGAATTTGACGAGGACCTTTCGTGGCGGGATTTGATTTCCAAGTCCAAGACGGCACGATCAGAGACTTTTCACGAAGAGTTTTTGGGGCATGTCGGTTCGTTCGCTTCGGCCTTTGAATGTTCGTTGCAAGACTCTGACGTGCCTGCTCGCCTCGAATCAGGGACCCCTTCAGCCCGCGTCTACCATAGACGCTTTTAGGCTACTTGTTTGCGCGTGCTGCCATAGGGCATCGCATTCGAATCCAGAGACCTTCGACCGCATCCATTCGTGAGGATTGGAGAAAAGCAGAGCTACCGAGGAGAAGAACTACTTTGACCTGGTTTCCGCTTCGTTGCATTTTTGTTGGTCGCTTTCCCTTTGCTGCCAATTCTCGATACGAGACAAGAATGTCCCAATCAATCTTGGGCCTTCAAGCTCCAGTGGCTTCAGTGGCTCCCATCAAATCCCATCAAAGAAGAACAAGGCTCAATGATCCTCATCCCGACCTCACGGTCCTCATTCCTCTGCACGGGGCCCCGGCAGCTTTGGCCCTGATAGAAGCCACGAAGCAAGCGCTTCATCACCTGGAAAGTCTCCCCAATGCTACTCCGTACTTCATGTTGGGAAGCGATTTACGTTACATGTGTAGAATGTAACATACCCGATTGACCGACAAGATCCAACAAGTGTTACTCTGAAACATGTCTGAAAAGGAGAAAAGAATGCACATATTAGTATGTATATATATATATATATGCCAGGGACTCCATATGTATATATATATATATATGTGTAATATGTAAATGAATACCGGACCAAATCTTGCATCTGGTCTAGGGACATAGCATACAATGGGTCGGCCCACACAGGTTTGTGGAGGCTTTGTGGATTGGGTAAAGGGCATTGGTAGATGGATATCTCACATCCACCCTGACTACTTTGGTCTTCGCAGATTTCGTCTATATATATATATACAAGTAAATAAATATATACAGTATATATATACCCAGATAGATAGACAGATAGATAGATAGACAGACAGACAGATAGATAGATGTTGCTACCCCGTATCAAAGCACTGCATGGAGCTGTACGGCTTGAGTAAGCCCCAAACCACGTGTTCAGAGCGAGCAGAAGGGTCAGACGTTAACAGTCCGTCATATTCCACCTTCAGGTGGGGAATAGCTCTCTTTCTGTTGGTCTTGTCGTTGGGGAATAGCTCTCTACTGCATCCTCCAACTTCTCCAAAGGGCTTCAGTCCACCTGAGGCCCTGAAATTCTCCACACAACCAGCACAAGGATGCCTTTCTGATGCTACTAGTAACAAGGGCATTACTTTCAGCACATGGTACACCCGCTGCCCGCCTTTCGCTTCTGCTGGGATCGAAAGCTCATCTCCATCACCTGGGGGAACGAGGATTCGCAGCTTCTTCCATTCGTTGTGATTCTTGCGGAGGAGATATGTGGAGGATGAGTTGTTCAACCCCTGAGATTTTTTCAACCTGACACATCCTCAAACCGAGTCTTAAGAGCAAATCTCTGGTCAGACCTGACAAGAGTGATGTTAAAGAAGTTTCAAGTCCCAAAGGCCCTGAATAGTACTGGCAAAAGAATTCTCACAAAAGAATCTGGTCCTGATTCAATCTTCTTTCTGCATCTCAGGCACAGTTGATTCCAGCAAGGATGGTCCAGAGGATTTTAAACACCAACTGGCCCACCTGGGTGGTAGGGTGTTGGCACTGAAGGCCGGGACAAATAGAGCCAAGCAATGCCCAAGCTATACAATAGTAAAATATAGGAAACTAGTACTAGTTGAACATTTCATCCCGTCCTAATCTTTGATCTGGAACCGAGAAAAATCCTACCCTCTGTAGTACTCGTCCAGCTAAAAACAAAATTGAACTCCCTGTTTATTCATCAGACGTGGACATTAGCTACATCGCTTTCCCGCTAGCCAGCCGGGTGAGAAAAGTTGTGGCGATAGGTTATCCTTCGGAAAGCTCTGAGTTTTTGAGCGCGACTTGCTCCTAGTAGTACGGCCAGGAGCCCCTAGTAGCGTCCTTGCTCCTGGTAGCGATGCCAGGAGCCCCTAGTAGCTTCTTGTTACTAGTAGTACGGCCAGGAGCCCCTAGTAGCGTCCTTGCTCCCAGTAGCGATGCCAGGAGCCCCTACTTCTTGTTACTAGTAGTACGGCCAGGAGTCCCTAGTAGCGTCCTTGCTCCTAGTAGCGATGCCAGGAGCCCCTAGTAGCTTCTTGTAGTACGGCCAGGAGCCCCTAGTAGCGTCCTTGCTCCTAGTAGCGATGCCAGGAGCCCCTAGTAGCTTCTTGTTATTAGTAGCGATGCACTTGTTACTACTAGACTTGCCGGGACACGGTTGCTTCTGCACATACTCTTCCACCGCATAGTGCACGGAGACTCCCGCTGCCTCTCCGTCAGCTCCGAGCATCGAAGGATTGTCGTTCTTTTTAGCCCTGCCTCCTTACTCAATAGAGTATGCGCCTAACTATATAAATTAAGTAAGGGCGACTAGTTAGTTACTATGATGGACGCAGGATAGCCCACACTCGCGCTAATGATTTGGTTCCTTTACTTTCTGATGCCCCTCCTTCATGTCTCCTCTCTTTCTGTTGGACTGCTATGGCAATTAAGACATTGAAAGATCCTGTGAAGCATTCTGGGATCTTGCAAAGGACCTGATCACAAAAATGACATCAAATTCCCAGAACATGGGCAGACTCCTCCCAAAGCTCGGCCAGCTTTGGAAGGAAGGCTTTCATGGACCTCGCTGCCAAGATCCAAAGCTGGCTACCGCGGCTACAGGCTTGTGTTACCAGTAGTTCTTGATGGCAAATGTTACATCTTGGGACACAATCAAACATCAGTATGAGCAAGGTTGCTATTGCAGTACACCACTCAAGTGACAGGTTCGAAAAGAATTGTACTCAGAAGCTCTTGTCATCATTGTTTGGAAACAGTACCCTAAGCACAAGTATTCCATCAAAGCAACTGTTCCTACAAACCTAAGTTTAAGAAGCCAAAAGCCTGAGAAGCGAACTGCTCCACCCACGGTCTTTGTGACAGGGTGATACACACCGGCTTTCCCGCACCTCTGCATGCAGGTTTTGAGCAACCATCTGGGTTGCTATGTCTCGTCTCTGGCCCCCATCTTTAGAACAACTCAAAAAAGGGGGCAGTCAAAATTACTTGGCCCCTCGCCCAAAAAGATGTGGATTCAATCCTCTGCAATGCTAGATCTCCCTGTGATTTGCAAGGTCGTTCTGACAACTGTCATAGGGGCGCAATCGAATGGAACCAGGTTGCATGAGTAGCTGAAAATATATCTGGATGTATATGGTATCGATTGCAATTGCCATGGCAAGATTGGGGCTCCGTATCAGTGTTCAATCCCTGCAATGTTTTGCATCTGTATAGGTGCATCTAGGGGTATCGGTGCAGGCCGGCCTCGTTCTCAAGCTTCTTCATTCCCGATGACCACACAAGACTAAACTAAACCGTTCATTCCCAAAAGAACTTGGCAGCCGACTCAGCTCCTGCGCTTGTTCAATATGTCAACATTCAAGTGCATGTGATGTACTCTAGGACTCCAGGGCATGTAGAAGGAGTACAACATTCGATTAGATCAGCTGGGTATGCTTGAATGGCCCACCTCAGCACACCCCAACCGCCCGCCCAGCGCACACAAGATCGTCTCGAGGAACTGCAAGGCCTGGAAGTCGGCAAAGCTCATGGATTGAAGTGAACCGGAACCCAAATCAACAGGATCAAAGCTCATGGTCCCCAGATAGAAACGGAGTTAAACCCATGCTTAAAGCAGGATCCACTTTTCTATTAACAGTAATTACAAGTCTGTCCAAATTGCTCATGTCCGGTGCATTGGTTTAAAGATCTTTAAAGCTAAGGCCAACGGCATCGCTTTAGAATGCTTGGGACATGGGCACTGCAGGTAAATATTGTTTTGCAGGGTTTTGCAAAGTCTGCGCATATAATCGAAAGCACGACTTCCAACAGTGTTACTCGTACCTTATCAGATTGGCTTTCAACCCATGTTCCTCATTGCTTCTGCCAAACCGGTCACTTCTAGTCATCTCTCTACCCACCCATGGTGTTGACTGATAGCTACTAGGGGCTCCTGGCCTTACTACTAGGAGCAAGGACGCTACTAGGGGCTCCTGGCCGTACTACTAGGAACAATGTTTGCTACTAGAAACAAGAAATAATTAGAATTAAAGTATGTTGAATTAAGTTTAATTAGAACCCACCCAAACCGGACATCTCTCGACTACAGTACAAATATCTGGTGTTCCATCCCATGGTATTCACTGTATTGACTGGTCATCCAACGGCACACGAGAGTCAAAGGGGCTGCGAGCGCCACACCATGATTTTTGCCAGGAATGGGTCTGCCGGTCTGCCCCTGATATCTAAGCCTATGGCCTATGAAAACTTGTAACAATTTGATACATGTCCAACCTCTATATAGAGAGTAAAAACAGCTCAAGATCGATGAAATGAACTAAGTTGCTCCAAACCGACATTCACCTGGGCGGCCCAGGCTACTGTGTCAATCTCTCGCAACACATCAAGATCTTCTGGGTCGATCAGATCCGCTGCCATGGTCTCCACAGATCCCTGGAAGACATCGCAAAAAGAATGAACCCTTGAAACTCAATACGCGTGCCATGGGTCTGTTACGCCTAAGATCACTTAAAGTCAAAGGCTCTCTGCTGGTAAACGGACGTAAACAGACAGTCTCGCCTAGTTGCTGATTACTTCCCGTGCCACATGACCCTGATGAACTGGTTTCCTTACGAGGTCGACATGTCAACCCTGTCCAGGTTCTGATCTCAAATTCTTGATGTTCTATTGGTAGCTTCTTGCTATTAGTAACAAGGGCATTACTACTAGTAGAAAATAGCTACTAGTAGCTTACCACTAGTAGCAAATAGCGTCCTTGCTCCGAGCAGGAATGCCAGGAGCCACCAGTAGCTCCTTAGTCGCCAACTATTATTCCTTCTTCTAATTCTGATTCTGTCCAACGGTTGAGCCCATCGCACCTTTTGAGCTTCAAGCCATTCCTTGAACCACGGCCGACTTGTCAGCCAGGTAGTTGGCAAAATGGTGTCCTTGTGGACAAGTGGAAGCAAATCAAGAGGAAAAGGGCCAAATGAATCTAAGAACCAAATGAATAGTGCGAGC